CCTGCCTGGTCCTTTTAACTGGAGATGCCGGGGATTGAACCTGGGACCTTCTGCGTGCCAAGCAGGGGCTCTGCCACTGAGCCAGGGTCTCAGGTCAAGGTCTTTCTCAACCCCTCCCACCTGGCCTTTCGAACTGGAGATGCAGGGGATTGAACTAGTTAGGGTTATTCTGACTGCTAAAATGCCTATTATGCCTGCTATTAAAGGTTATGGCCTTGTTTTGGTTTCTCTTTTTTAAAAAATCCATCTCCTACAGGACAACTGGGAACCAGAGCTGTGCTTAAAACAAATTTTTAAAAGTCTTTATCCACAGGGTTGTGTCATCGTACACTCTTTTTTCTTCCTCCCTTCCGCCCTGGTGGTTTCCTCTTTTCCCCGCCAGCTTCTGCTGAGCGACCACGCTGACGCGGGCTTTTGCTTTTCTCTCTGCATTTTTCCAGGAAGAGAAGAAGATCCTGCAAGAGGAGGAGAAGAAAGACCTGGCCCTCCAGTCGAAGGCCAGCCTCAGCATCCCGCTGGTGCGGGAGTCCGAAGAGGACCGCCACCTGGCCACCCTGCTCAAATATCAGAGCCTTGGCTGTAAGTGAAGGCCCGCTGGCCTCCGGGGCTTTCGGGGGGAGAGGGGGGGACGACCAGGCCCAAAGGCAGCATTTTGTGGCTCATGGGGCGAACGTTGTCTCTGTTGGGGCTGAAGTTCTCAGTGCAGAAAGAAAAGCCATTTAGTCAGTAGAAAGCTGTGACCAGGGTGGATCTCTAAATTGCAATCTGTGGACCACTTCAGATGACAGTTCTCAGCTGCTGCAAGTTAATCACTTCTGCCAGCCTAAACGACAGTTCTGAGAACGAGCCCGGCAGGTGAGGCTGATGACTCCTATAGCCAAGAATTAGGCAGGAAAACTCTCTTAAAGGAGAACAGTTTCTTCACATAGAGTTAGAAGGGATCCTAGAGGTCACCTACTCCAACCCCCTTGCTCAGGGTGGGAATTAATCAACTACAGCACCCCGCTCTGCTTAAAGGAGTGCATGCCTTTTAAAAAAAACGTTGAAAAGTGATTGGAAAAAACCATATACAGGAGAAATTCTTGGGGGGCTGTCCCTTTAAGAAAGGGGGCGGAGCCCCCCAAAGCCCCACGGCTAGCTACGGGCCTGTGGAGGATGGGTCTCAGTAGGGTTGCCAGCCTCCCAGTGGGGTCTGGAGATCTCCCGGAATTACAACTGACCTCCAGACTACAAATCAGTTTCCCTGGAGGAAGTGGCAGTTTTGGAGGGTGGACTCCGTGGCCTCGTGTCCCTGCTGAGCTGCCTTCTCTTCTCTTCCCTCTCCAAACCCTGCCCTGCCCAGGCACCGCCCCCCCCCAAATCTCCAGGTATTTCCAAAGTCAGACTTGGCAACCAGGCCTCTAGCTGCGGTGGGGCTTTGGGGTCTGTGCCCCCTTTCTTAAAGGCACAGCCCCACCAGAATTTATTCTGTAAATGCTTCTTTAAATCATTTTAAAACACTTTTTAAAGGCGTGCGCTCCTTTAAGCAGAGTGAGGTGCTGTTTTTGACTGATTCCCGCACTGAGCAAGGAGGTTGGAGTAGGTGACCTCTAGGATCCCTTCTTAACCCTGTGTCAAGGAACTGGTCTCCTTTAAGAGAGTTTTTCTGCCTCGGCATTAGCTTTCTTCACTATAGAAGTCATCACCTCCACCTACCAGCTTGTAATCAGAATTGTTGCTTAGGCTGGCAGGAGCGATTAACTTGCAGCAGCTGAGAACTATCATCTAACGCGGCTGACAGCTTGCAGTTTAGAGATCTACCCTGGTCACAGCTTTCTACTGGCTAAATGGCTTTTCTTTCTGCATTGAACACTTCAGCCCCACCAGAAAAAGATTTGCCACACAAGCCACAAAATCCTAGCTACGGGACTTTTGGCAATCCTAGCTGGGGTGGGTGGGGTCACAGGCAATGCTCCCCCTAAGCCGTGGAGTCTTGTGAGCAAAAACTCTGCTTTGTGAGCAACTGGGCATTAAAGTTGTGAGCGAGCGATTTGGCGACTGCATAAGTTAGTTTGCTCTGGAGCCCTCCTTCCTGGGCTAAGACAAAAATGTGTGAGCCGGAGGCTAAAGACCTGTGAGCTGGCTCACACTCACTCACCTTAGAAGGAACACTGCTCTGGAGCCCTCCTTCCTGAGCTAAGACCAAAATGTGTGAGCTGGAGGCTAAAAAACTGTGAGCTAGCTCACACTAACTCAGCTTAGAGGGAACACTGCTCTGGAGCCCTCCTTCCTAAGCGAAGACACAACTGTGTGAGCCGGAGGCTAAAGACCTGTGAGCTGGCTCACACTCACTCACCTTAGAGGGAACACTGCTCTGGAGCCCTTCTTCCTGAGCTAAGACAAAAATGTGTGAGCTGGAGGCTGAAAAACTGAGAGCTGGCTCACACTAACTCGGCTTAGAGGGAACGCTGGTCCCAGGTGCCAAGGATTGGATGCTTAGTATCTGGGCTCGTTCACATGATTGACATGCAAAGGGGGAGGGAGTCATTCAGAACCGTTACCCTGGTAGGACACCTGCCCCCCCCCCCCCCCCCCCGGGAAGGAACTCCAGGGCAGTTCAGCTGTACTGTTTTGCGGACTAAAGGTGGGGTTGTTTATTATTTAATTATTGCATTATTATTTAAAGCATTTGTACGCCGCCCATCCACCCAATCAGGCTCCACAAGGCGGCAAACCTAAAAACATTACAACATTTGAGCGGCCAAAAATAATTGAATTAAAAAACACATCAACCGAAGCCACCCGAAGGAGCGCCAGTGACTGTTATCGGGGGTATGCCAGATAAAGCAAAGTCTTCACCCCGGTAGACCGAGACAGATGAATCTCCTTGGGGGAGGGAGTTCCTGGATTTTGGGGCCACCACCGAGAAGACCCTTCCTCGGGTTGCCACCTCTCTAGCTTCATATCGTAGGGGCAACCAAAGAAGGGCCTCCAAAGGTAACAGGTGCGAGCGACTACGTTTGTTTGGGAGGGGGCGGTCCTTGAGGGATGTTGGTCCCAGGCCGTACAGGACTTTAGGGCGGCTTCCATCATTCTCATCTCCTCCATTTTAGCCACACAACAACCCTGTGAGGTAGGTCAGGCTGAGAGAGCATGACTGGCCCAAGGTTCCCCCCAGCAAGCTTCCATGGCATGAGTGGCGATTCAAACCCAGGTCTCCCAGCTACTAGTCCGACGCCCTTAACCAGTACACTGGCTCTTGAACTGAGCCTGGAAGCAAACTGGAAGCCCATTAGATCCCCCCCACACACACGCACACACCCTTAACGTTTCTTCCCCCCTTAATCTTTCAGCCTACGAAGACAAACAGAAGCAGAAGCGGAGCGCGATAGCCGAACGCCCCTGGTTCTCGGTCCCTCAGGCCTCCGGCACCAAAGCCAACGACACCCTGAGAAAGCTAGGACTGTCTGCGAAATCCCCAGCCGGAAAGTCGCCCCTCAACCTGACCCACCTGGGTGTTGTGCGTCGGAAATCCCGAGACAGGCCAGGGGCTTCCACGGAGGAGGAGGAGGAGGAGGTGGCGGCGGCAGCTCCCCTGGCGCAGGAGAACAGACTGGGCCGGGACGGTGTGGCGGAGAGCGCGTCCCTCGGTGCTCCTGCGCAGACAGACCTGGTCTCCCAAACAGCCGACGAAAAACCTCCGTGCGATTCGGCCGCCTCGCTGGTTGCCGACTATTCAGACTCTTCATCCGACGCCGAACTATGAACAGCGGAGTCCGGGGGCTCTTCTGGAGAGTTGGCTGATATTGGCGTCTGAGTGGCTGTGTTTTCTGAAGCAGGTAGAGCCTTCTCCGTTGGCAGCTGCTGCGTGGGCCTGCTGGGTACCTGAACAGAATGCCCTCCGCGTGTGCCCACAGGAGAGCCCTTCCGTTCCCTGTCCTTGGGCTGTGTGCGCCTCTGCTGCTACTATCGGAGCAGGACCCTTTCCTTGCTTTCTCTGGGGCCACGCAGGGACCCCCAGAAAGCCCCACCGGCTGAAAATCTGAGAGCTACGCATTACGGAGCATTACCCACCGCACAAAGCCGCCGGTCTGAGCTTGCAGGGGGAAAGGAAGAACCGAAGCGAGTGGGTTACCGTGAGACGCCCGATCATCCCCAACAACTCGGAAGCCCCAATGTCGCCGCGTGGCTCCTGCGAAACCCCAATCTGCACGGGCAGTCAGTGAAATCTCCAGTCCGTATTTTCTCCGCCAGGTCGCGAGACGTCAGGGAATGCTTGAGACACACAAGAAATGGAGCCGGATCCTGAACACCCCTCCGTCCCTTGTTGTCCTCCCCCCACATTTTTTTTAATTTTGAAACCAACTTTTCTCGCCGTTTACCCTGTTCTGTAGTTCAGGAAGACTTGTCCGTGGTCGCGGCGTTTGCAGTCTTGTTATTAAAAACTCAGCAAAGGGGATTCCTGGGCAAATGGGGGGCACCTCTCTACGGCAGAGTCTTTGCTGATTGCAGAGTCGTTCCACCCCCACCCCCCCAGTTCTCCACTCAGGACACCACACGGGCCCGTAGCTACAGGAGGCATCTTGGGGCACGGCCTCCCCAATTAACTGCCAGGCCTCCCCAATTTACTGCCAGGCCTCCCCGACTTTCCGTCCAGCTCAGGCCCCGCAACTTCCAATTTTTAAATTTTATTTCTGGTGCTCCTTTTGGGGGGGGGGTATGCAGGGTGCCCCTCGACTTATTGACAGCCCTCCCCCTGAATTAAAATCCTGGCTACGGGCCTGGCCTCACATGAGATTGTGCGGACGCCGTGGTTCTGCAGGAGCGACCGATGTGGTGTTGGCCAACGCTCCCTCTAAGCCGCGGGGGTCCCGTGAGCAAAAATTCTCCTTTGTGAGCGGGCGATTGGGCTGCCGCATCAGTGAGGCTGCCGCATCAATGAGTTTGCTCTGGAGCCCTCCTTCCCGAGCGGAGACAAAGACCTGTGAGCCGGAGGCTGAAAAAACTGTGAGCCGGCTCACACTCTTGCAGTTTAGAGGGAACACGGGTGTCGGCTACAGAATGCCGCTTTCATTGAGGCAGGAGGCTTCTGTCCCTCCCTGGCTGCGGAGACACGCGTGGACCTCCTCCTGTGGGCTGCCACCTCCCATGGCACAGTGAATTCCACGTGTCAATCGCTCTTTGGGTGAAGGAGGACTTCCTTTTATCCGTTCTAACCCAACCGCTCAGCAATTTCATGGAGTGCCCACAAGGAGTTCTCGTATTGTGAGAAAGGGAGAAAAGGACTTCTTTCTCGACCTGCTCTATCCCATGCATAATCTTATAAACCTTGATCATGTCTCCCCTCAGCTGTCGTTTCTCCAAGCTAAAGAGCCCCGAGCGCTTTAATCTTTCCTCATAGGGAAAGTGTTCCAACCCTTTTATCATTCGAGTTGCCCTTTTCTGCACTTTTTCCAATGCTATGATATCCTTTTTTGGGGTGTGGTGATCAGAATTGCACACAGTATTCCAAATGCAGAACTGTAATTCTTTCAGCAGGGAAGATAGACGTCCTTGGTACTACTTGCACTGTCTTCTTTGCATCTGAACACTGTATTCCTGATCCTAGTGCATATTTCGAAGAGTGACAAAGAGATTGGATTCATACCCCACCCTTCACTCCCCAAAGGAGTTTCAGAGCGGCTCCCCTCCCCACAACAGACACCATGTGAGGCAGGTGGGGCTGAGAGAGCTCTTTAGAGGGCTGCCCTTGAGAGAACAGCTCCGAGATAACTTGTGACTGACCCAAGGCCACACCAGGAGCTGCATGTGGAGGAGTAGGGAATCCAACCCGGTCCTCCCAGATTAGAGTCCGCACTCCTGACCACGACACCAAAATGGCTCTCGGGTCAGGATTTGGGGGCCGTTTACCCATAAGTAAGATCTGCTGGATCCCGTAGATTTACTCTCAAGTAACTGCACAGGACTGCAGCCTTTAGCAGAAAGCAAATCATTTCCAAACGATAGAGCTGCCTGTCGTGTCACAACAAACTCCCAACAAACCTGACTAGTTGCCGTATTCCCACGTGCACCTCGAATATGTGAGCGCACGAAGCTGCCTTATCAGACCTCTGGTCTATCAAAGTCAGTATTGTCTAAGACTGGCAGCCGCTCTCTGTCTAGACTGGCAGCTGCTCTCCAGGGTCTCAGGCAGAGAAAGGTCTTTCACGTCACCTGCCTGCCTGGTCCTTTCAGACGGTCGCTGTGTTGGTCTGCCATAGAAGAGCTAGATTCAAGTCCAACAGCACCTTAGAGACCCCTAAGATTTTGAGAGGCTCAGAGGTTAAGGTGCCGAGCTGCAGACCGGAAGGTCGGCAGTTCGAGACCCGAGTGTGCCGCCTGACTAAATGAGCTCCCGTCTCTGGCCTCAGCTCCTGCCAACCTAGCAGTTTGAAAGCAAGAAATTGCAAGTAGATAAATAGGTGCCGCTTTGGTGGGAAGGGAACAGTGTTCCATGCGCCTTGGCGTTGAGTCATGCAGGCCACATGACTACAGACACGTCTTCGGACAGCGCTGGCTCTTCGGCTTGGAAACTGAGATAAGCATTGTAGCCCCCTAGAGTCAAAATCGACTGGCTTTCGAGCAAGGGAAACCTTTACCGTAAGCTTTGGAGAGTCAGCGCTTCCTTTGTCTGATACCTGAATCAGTGGTCTGATTCACTGGGGTTTGGGTATTTGGTATAAGGTAGCTTAATGTGTGTCATGTGGGGACAGAGGCATTATTTGCAG